AAGAAGAAGAAGAAGAACAAGAAGAAGAAGAAGAAGAAGAAGAAGAAGAAGAAGTAGAAGAAGAAGAAGAAGAAGAATCCTGATCACTATATATAGTCTTCACAAGAAGTTAAGGATCACTTTGAGAAGTGGACGCAAAATAACAACCAGCAACTCAAATTGTTCCTTCTTTAACTTGCGTTTCATTTATCAATCCATGAGTGCAAAAAAAGAAATTTCATCAAAGTCGAGACCGAAATGCATGATTCCCAGCGCTCAAAAAGAACCCACCCTCAAAATCGAAAATCACAAAGGAAAGGCGTGAGGAATGCTGTTCCATTTTTTGTTACAGCCATCCAAACAGCTGCTGGCGGGCAAAGGGTGGATCTACAGAACTCTCTGATCAAGCTCAGCCTACAACTGTTCAATTGGATTGAGGTCTGGACTGTTGGCTGGCCGAACCATGCGGGTAATCCCCGCCTGCTGCACGAAGGCGTTGGCGGCCCTGGACCTGTGCGGCGTGGCGTTGTCGTCCTGGACCTGCTGCAGCGCGGGACGACCAGAGGTCGAAGGATCTCCAGCTGATACCGCTGCCCTGTAGGGATACCTTGACTGCCTTGCAGTGAATGGTGGGCACATTCGCTTCTGACAATTCAATTGACATTCACGAACTTAGACTGGTTGTTTCTTTGATATTGCTGCGACCTTTTGAGACCCTTTCCTTTCTTATTTTCGATTTTGAGGGTAGGTCCTATTTGAGCGCTGGGAATTACGCATTTCGATTTCGATTGTGATGAAATTTCTTTTTTTTTTTGCACTTATGGATTGATGGATTAAATGTGTGTAAATGAAGGCATAATTTGATTTGCTGGTTTTTATTTTGAGTGCACTTTTGCAAGTGGTCCTTAACTTTTGTAAAGACTGTATATCGTCTGAACCTGCCCGACAAACATGATACCAGCTGAGCTAATTGCTCCCTAGAGCAAGGATTGCTACCAAGTACTTTACTTTGGTTGTTTATCGTGATTGTGGGTTTCTCCTGGTCCTGATTAACAGTCACGTTCACGTCGGTCAGCAGCGTTGAAGCTTTGATCACTTCACCATATGCGTTGTCAGTCTGAGTGGCCACCAAAATCTCTACATCAGCAATCAGACTGCCACTTCTTGATTGTTGAAATAAAAAATCCCCAACAAGTTATCAAACAAAAAGCAATGAGAAACATACTACTAGACAGAAAATAAAAAACTTTTCAAGTTACTTTTTAGAGTAAATAAAGTATGAGTCATTGTGGTGAAATCAGGCACTGGATAGAATAATGAAATAATAGATCAAGAAAAGGAATTTTTTTTTCCAGGGAGTTTTGTAGATTTTCTGTTTTGTTTTGGGTTCAACACCTGTTATGTCAACTTAAGATATATTCGTGCATGGATGTTAAATTTAAAAAAGATTGATTAAAGGAACAAAAAATGTAATTTCGTAGTGTTCATCTAAACTACATTTTTAAAAGTTATCAAACTTTGGTGGCCATTTTCTCTCTACTTTTACCTCTGACACCAAGCAACCCACACCTCCTTCTATCAGCAATTATTATCTCGACTTCTTATAGATAGATGGGTATTTTCTTCATCAAAAGCAAGGCAAATGAATAGGATTTAAGATTTTCATAGTAATTTTAGTAATTCCATAGACCCAAAAAAATTGTCGAGCGCCTGATTCCACCACGTCGTGACAAATTTTGACTGTGATAACCTTTTCAGACACAAGAACAGGGATGGAAACTGATCAATCCAAACTTTACTGAACTTTTCGGGGGCTATACAGGTTTGGAAAAATGCACTTACTCAATTATTTATTAGTAGGCCTACACATACTAGGAAGTCAGGTCCCACTTACGGAAAATGACAGAGCAAATCAAAATTACGGATTTCCATAAATTTACAGAAAATCTCCATCCCTGCAAGAAATCACCCCACCCATCTCGGATTTGCCCTGACAGATTGGGAGGAAGTCTCTGAATGACCGGCCGACATCGTCCCGATTGGGAATTAAAAGATTTACAACAAATTTAGACGATCTCCATTAAAAGGGACCAAAGTCATTAGATCAAATTCGGCCTTCAAGTTCAGTTCAGTTTTAAACTTTTATTCTACGAATGCCAGTATGGTCGCTCAACTTCAAGAACTTTTCCAGTAAAATAACC